TGATGGTGGAACATCTTTCTACATGATGGTGGAACATCTTTCTACTTATGGTGGAACATCTTTCTACACTTATATCTATAGTAGGTGGAGACAAAACGACCACAAAGAGACACAAAACAACAACAACAAAAAAGACACAAAGAGATAAAACTGATGCATCAAATGACCAAAATGACACAAAACGTCAAAAATGAGACACAAAGTGGAAAATATGAGAAAATAAAACACGTAATGACAAAAATAAGACACAAGAACATGACAGAAAAGAGACACAACTCTGCCAAAGAGAGACAAAACGACAAACAAACCAAACACACCCAGAAACTGCTTTAAATTCAGACAATTACTACAAACAAGTTTCTTTTTCAAGAGACAAAAAACTTCAACCCTGAATTTTAGAACTTTTTAGAACCTGCAGACTCTCTGAATAATTCTTGTCGCTGAAAATCAATTTGAAAATGCAGGTTTTAGGCAGCAGGAGTGTTTGTTGACGGATCGACTAACAATCATCGTCTGTCTCGTCGTGATTCATTACCTTTTGTTTGGGCTTTAAAACATGAGAAAAAAAACAAAAAATATGAACTTTACTGTGATGTAAAAGCAGGAAAACACATCTGAGAACAAGGAACCATCAGATTTGGGCCTCTTTGATGATGTTTGGTGTTTTCTGGCAGCTTACAGTTAAAATTTAGTTTGAACGAGCAAAAAAAAAAATCAGCTGAAATGATAGAAAACAGTGACTGAATACAACGACAGTAAATAACAAAACACAGCCGCAGGAAACAGGGACTGAGAATGGACCAAAAACAGCCGAAAACAAGAGTGAATGAACGAGAGGAAACAGATTGGAAATGAAACAACGACACAAACGAAGAAAAGAACTGAAACAGTGGCTGAAGAAAGCTTTCTTTCTCTGATCATGCTAATCGCGTCACACTGACAGAAGACGTCTCTGACTTCTCTCTCCTTCTTCATTCTGGTTCCACGGAGCTGCAGGACTTTATGCTGTGTGTCAGAGGTCCAACACAAACGGCGGGTGTGTGCTCGTTGTCGTACCTTGGTAGATGTCGTACTGTCCCGACATCAGGTTGTAGCTCATGCCCAGGTGTGTGTGATGGTGTGTGTGCAGGTGTCGGGCGAACGACACGTGGTTCCTCTCTCTCTCTGGTTCTCTCTCTCCTTCGGGGGAACCTTTCTCACCGGGCTGCACGGACACACAA